TTTGTTCTGGGGTCAAAGTCCCGACTGGCCGCTCCTGCAGGAGGAACCGGAACCCAAACCCGACCCCAGAACCCCGCCCTCATCCTCCTCCAATGCCTCCGCCTCGTCACATGACCTGTCGCTGCACAAGCCAGAGGAAGGAGCGAGCTGCTCTCCATCCGACCCCCACAGGTAGACGGCAGGATCCCACTGGGATGGACTGGTATCAGTTGGCTTTATACTGGGCAGGTGACCAGAATTCTCCAGTTAAGTCTCTGCTCTTAAAGCTGCAGTACGTAACTTTTATAACTTTTTTTTTTTTTTTTTTTTTGCATTATTATGAGAGATGATCTGTGAAAAAAATCCAGCTTGTCTGTCTTCTCCCAGTGCTAACTAGAAACAACCAATCAGAGCCAGGAGGCGGGACTTAGCGCTGTCAATCACCCTCTGCACAGCCTGTCATGAATGCTAAGGCTAGTTAGTATAGCAGATAAACGATAAGTTGTTTGTTTGTCATTTAGAAGTGCGTACATGAGATTGATTGACAGCGCTAAGACCCTCCTTGTGGCTCTGATTGGTTGGTTTGGTGCATTTCTTCAGACGGTAGCAGCAGCTCAGGGAGGAGATCTAACAAACTGTCACAACATGGAGACAGTTTTAATGTAAAACAAAGTTACAAACTGCAGCTTTAAGAGGTGAAGCTTTCATTCATTCAGGAAATTTGTTTCTGATTGGAAATGATACGAAAGTCCAAGGATAGGATGGCCTTTAAGGGAAAAAAAACCATTAAATATAATTTCTGATTTGCGGTTTTGGTGATTCATCACGATAAGCCGGATGTTTATGATAAGCCAGGCAGCAAAGGTATCAGTCAGGAGCAGGCTACAAACATTTCTATAATATGTATGAACAATGAATCAAAATAATCTTTAGTAAAGTTTTGGTTGGGATCAGTGTGAAGTGTGTCTGGGCTTAATAATACTGTTATGGCCAATAACTGATATTTTATCAATATCAGATATTTCTCCCAAACCTTTTAACATCGTAAAAACTCAACCACAAATATCAGCCCGGTTGTACTGATCGGACCGATACTGCTTATCTGTAACCCGTGTTCTGTTGGTTCTGTCCAGCACCAGCGGCCTGCAGAGTCCGGTTCTGGGAGAGAGCGCCAGCATGTACGGGCCTCCAGCAGAGCAGCAGAGCTTCTACCAGAACCTGATGGTAACGCCACTTTTCTGATCGGATCAGAACCAAAAGGACAGAAAGCTGAGCTTTACCATGCCGGGATTACCTCATCTGTTAGGGATTAGATTAACCAGCCGATACCAAACACACGAGGGATTATTCTGGGATTTTTTTATTTGATTTTTAAATATTTCAAGAGATTGTGTAAAAAAATAAAATACAAATTCCACTTCTATGGTTTTGTTTACTAAAACTCTGGAGTCTTAGGCTAAGTTCAGAGAACCAAAACAATAACGTTGAGAATGAAGTGGTATTAAAACGAGAGCAGTTATATTACCTGGATAATGTGAGATAATATGGCAAGTCATTGAAAAGTCATAATATTAACCAAAGTTATAATGGGAGATTAAAATCGTAATATTTCCAGATTAAAAGGAAAATTAATACAGTTGCAACAATATTACCATAAATTCTCAATAATACGAGAATAAAGTCACTATAATTCCAGTATAAAGTAGTAACTCCTTTGTAAAAAAAAAAAACTTACATTAAAATGAGAAATGTTGAGCTGTACTTTGTATCAGTTTTAATCTTTTAAATCAGCATCAAATTATTATCAGCAGAACTTTAAGACTGAATCTGTTCAGGAGAACCGACCACAATCGGGTCACGTTGGATCCTAATAACCATCAGACCCTTTTCCTCCTATTTGTACGTTTTTATTCTCATAATTTCACAATAAATAAATAAATATGGCAGTCTGGCCGTATTCCTCCATCCTGTTGAAACATGTTAATGTTTTTGTTGGATCAGATGGTTCTGATGGGTTCCAGCGGCCCGGTTCTGATAACTCTTCTTTCTCCTCAGACTCAGCTCAGCAGCCGCCTGCAGGAGTCAGACAGCAGACAGGAAGCAGAGGACGACTCCAACAGGAAGAGCCCGTCTGCATCCCACCACTCCCAGTCCTCCCAACACTCCCAGTCCTCCCACCACTCCCAGTCCTCCCAGCTGCCCTCTTCCTCATCTGACAGGAAGCAGGACCAGAAGAAGAAGAGGAGTCCGGACAGCGACACTGTGACCCGAGCGACGCTGCGGCAGCTGCAGCAGCTTGGCGTCACCGTGGATACGGAAAATCTGACAGAGTTGGACAAGAACCGAATCAGAGCGGTGGAGACGGCCAGGTACCGGTCTCACCTGGATGGCTGCCCGTTTATATGACGTCACTTCAGGATGCTAGCAAAATCTCACTGTTCTAACTATTTAAAGGGGCAGTGACAAGTAAAATCCACTTTTTATCTTTCCATCATGTTTTAATGTTTTTCCCTCATCAAAATCAAACCTGGAGGGTTAGTTTGATCCTTTCATGTCTGAGAAATCCCTCAATCTTCATGGCAACCATCCAGCTGTGCAAAAAAGCCTGGGTGGACTTATTCCCGCCTTCGAGGCACAGCTCCTCCCCTACTCAGCCCCTGCAGACTAGCCAGCAGCAATTAGCAAACATCTGCTGAGCTCGTTATAGGAGCTGCTACTGGTAAAAACATTAAGGGCTTCATAGAGGAGCCATGTTGGGATGACTTCCTGGAGGCGGAGCTTCAGAAAGAGCAGAAGCTTCTTAAAGAGACAAAGGTCCAATTTCAAGTCTTATTGGATATATGAAGCATTTTTACAACAACTAAAGGTAACATAGTTATTTGATTGTGCTATAAAATTCCTGTTTAAGAATTTTGGAGCACAAAATGATATCAGCATTGAGGGTAATATTCTCAGTAAAATTACAATAAGGCAGTAAAGATAAAGCATAAAATATTAAAGGAAAAATTTAATCATATATTTTAACATCTTTCAGTTGAAAACCGAAAAAGTTCTGTATATCGAATGGATTATTGAAGAACAATTTATCATGATTAGAGAACAACTTTAACACCATTTACTCATCTTATTGTTCTGTAGTTTCTGAGCTCGGCGGTTATGACGACCACTTTGCTATAAAATGGCACTCAGTTCCTGGAGATCACTTGACTCCGCCCCTTTAATTCGCTCGGCCTCCTCTATCGGCCTAACGGGTTGCTGATGATGTCAACTGAGCTTATTTGATCACGCTGTGATGGTACGGAGACAACACGCTACCCGGTGTTAAAGCAGCAAGATAAATCCCATCAGTAACCATGGCAACCAGTGGCAGTTTAAAGTTGCTATATTTACAAACAATCGATACTTTTAGATGACGTTTGACCTTTGACCCGTTGTTTCTCTCCGCCAGCACTTTGGCGACCATCGACCCTGCGGCGGTCGTCTCCAGGCTGAGCGTCTCCGAGGCGATAGGCAGCGATCTGTTTGCCGGCGGCAGCGTGGACCTGAGCCTGGAGGCCAACGCCATCGCCCTGCGCTACCTCAGCCAATCACAGCTCAGCAGGCTGTCCCAGGGAGGCCACGCCCCCCTGCACGGCCACGCCCCTTCCAGCTGCGACGACTCCCTGCTGTCACCTAGCAACATGTCCCTGGCCACCAGGAAGTACATGAGGCGCTACGGCCTGATTGAGGAGGAGGAGGAAGAGGTCAGAGGTCAGGAGGCCCGACAGCCGCTGAGCGACGCCCTCAACCTGAAGTCCCTCCCACAGAGTCAGCTGATCCGGGAGCTGCGGCCCAAAATGCAGCTGCTGGCCAGAACCGGCTCTGGCGAGGAGAAAGAGAACCGAATGGCACCGGTGGGGCGGACCGGTCCAAACGGGCCGCAGCCAGAGGGATCGGTCGGGAACATCCTGGACCTGAGCCGCCTGAGGCAGCTGCCCAAGCTGTTCTGACCCAACAGAACCAAACCTGGACTTACCTTAATACATGTGAACTTTAGATGAAGTTGGGTTCTGGTTCTTTTGGACCAGAACCCGGTCAGTTCAGCTGACTCTCTGTTTTTATTTAATTTTTTTTATTTTCTGGTTTTTATGGGAAATTTCTTCTGCACTTTTTTAATATTTATGATTTCACAAATAAAATTTGATTCAGATTTTAAATAAATTGTTTCTGGATAATTAATTACAGAAAATAAAAAGTTCAATTTAACAGAAAAAGAATTTATCAATACAAACTGTAGATTAAATTATTACAAGACAACTTTTCATTCTTATAAACAGATAATATGTTTCTTATATATTTAGCTCTGCTTTTAATGTAAGTTTTTCATCTTTTTATCAAATGTTTACAGGAGAGTAAAAACATAAGATCCGGTTTTAAATCCTTCCAAAAACGTTTAAAAAATTAAAATATTTGAGTATCAAAACGGATTTTTTATTTTTTTTTTTTTTTTCGGAAACGATTTTGATTTCTTTGAAAAGGTATTTTAAAGTTGGAGAGTTTCTTGTGAGGTTATTTGGTCAAAAGTTTCTTCTAATAGTTTTGTTTTATTTAAAGTGAACTAAGATATTTTCACAAAAAATTAGACAAAAATAATAATTCAAGTCAGACATGAAAAGAGCCCCATTCTGTGTTTAAACGTAAAGTAAAACAATTTTTGTAAAAAGTAAAAATTTTTCCCAAATTAAAAATTTTCTGCCCAAAGTTTCCTTTTCCGAGAATAAATAAATCACAAAGCAAATATTTGACCTGAAAAATTGCAAATATTTTTGAAATTCATTTTCAGCACATTATTTACTCAGACTTCTAACTTAATGTAATACCAAAAGCAACTTTTATTTATTTTCTAAATTTAAAAAGGAAGGTTAAAGATTTTGCAGATGGAAACAAATTCAATACAGTTGAATACAGTTTTGTTCCTGTGCGTGGGTTACCTGACCCGCTCAGGTATTGATCGGTTCCGGAGGGGTTCGTCGTCATGGTGATGGCGGCGGGTCGATGTCTCAAAGGTTGGAGTGGATTTGTCGCTGCTCTGCAGGACAGTGACCTGATTCCAACTCAGACTGCTCTCTCCTCCTGGACTCGCTGCCGTATCTGCTCAGGTAAATTCCTCATTATTAGCTAAAATAATTCTGGTTCTGGAAAATTTGTGTTTTTGGTTTTATTAATGTTGCTGAAAGTAAAAGTTTCTTGAACTTCAGCCTTTTGGCCTCACTGATCTTTGATCAATATGTACCATTTGTTGCTGTTTTCCTCAAGTTTCTGATCAATAAGTGAAGGAAAATCTTCATCTGTGTCCGACTGAAATCTGAAAAAATAAAACTATTAGTAACGCAAACTGAACATCTGAAAAAGTGATCGAACGTTGGAGGGAGCAACTGATATCAAATGTCCTTATCGTCACTCTGCTTTAATTCAGCCGCATAGGAGGGTTTCCCAGCCTGAGTGTCCTAGTTAAAGGCTGGAATCAAGTCCAGGCTTTAACTAGGCCACTTCAAAACATTCATGTTTTTGTTTTGTATCAGTGCTGAAAGTCACAAGTTCAAGGTCACAACCTGATATTACATCGGTTGTTTCTGCAACTGTTCAAGAAAGTTGCTGTTTCAAGGACAGTTGCTGTTTCAGGGACAGTTGCTGTTTTAGGGACAGTTGCTGTTTTAGGGACAGTTGCTGTTTCAGGGACAGTTGCTGTTTTAGGGACAGTTGCTGTTTCAGGGACAGTTGCCAGAGACAGTTTTTGCATCTTTTTTGTCTACTTCCTGCTGTCAGTCAGTTTCTAATAAGGTGATTTTTTACAGGTTGTACGTAATCGGGTCAAACTGAACCAAATTTGGTTAAATATACTTTTTCTTTTTTCATTATTTAATTACATTTCCAGGTTGTATTTATTCTGGTTAACTTTGCTAAAAAGTTTTGGCGCCCTTCAGCATTTCTGAAATCTTCTGGTTTCTAAATTGGTTTGCTAATCTCTCCTCCATCCAGGATGAGGACTACTAGTTGCTGGTTGCTTCTGGCATTGTTGCCATTGCTTTCCAGTGCCCAGCTTCTGGACATCTGCAGCGCCCGACCCAAAGACCTTGCTCTGGAGCCGCACTGCGTCTATCGCAGCCCCGACCCGGACCCAGACGAGGCCGACGAACCGACCCCGGAGCCGCGGCCCGTCAACCCCAGGGTGTGGGAGCTATCGAAGGCTAACGGCCGCTTCGCCCTGGCCCTGTACAAGCAGATGGCCCTCAGCCGGACGCCCGATAGCAACATCTTCATGTCGCCCCTCAGCATCTCCACCGCCTTCGCCATGACCAAACTGGGAGCCTGCAACCAGACACTGGAGCAGATCATGAAGGTCGGAATCCTACCGCTAACTTGACAGCTAGCTGCGCTAACTCTGAAGCGCTACTCATAAACATTAGCTCTGATAATGCTAAACTGCTAAAGCACTAAGCCAACATAATATTTAGAAGAAGCTAATGCTAAAGCACTAATCGTAAGCATTAACTCCACTAGTGCTACACCAGCTTGATATTTATAGAAGCTAGTGCTAAAAAGCCAATCATAAACAGTTCATAAACGCTACAGCGCTGAACTGCTACACCAACACAATATTTAGCAGAAGCTAATAGTGAACTCTAAAGCACTACACCAACATGGTATCAATTGAAGCTAATGCTAAATCGCTAATCATTAGCTTCACTAACATTATGGCAACATGGTATTTGTCAGAAGCCAATGCTACAGGACTAACCATAAGCATTGGTTCTGCTAATGCTAAAGTATGACACCCACATGGTATTTAGCAGGAGCTAATGCTAAAAAGCTAATCATAACATTCGTTCAGCTAATGCTAAACCGTCAACATCATGGATGAAGAACATGAGGAGAGGAAACAGACCTGCTGCGTAAACACTTCAAAAATAAAAACATGTATATAAGAGCCTAACTATGTGAATAATGTTTAACAGCTAAAACCCAAAACTTCAACACAGATGTTGAACTTTACTTAACTGAAAGTTTACAAAGCAGTCAAGAAAATTAGCGCTTTAGAATTTAATTTGAAAAAATTACTAACAAAATAGCATTTTCAAAGTTAGCAAAGTGTTAAGCTAAAAAAATAATAAATCAATTTCTTTAATTAAAATAGCAAGAATGAGAGAAAAATCACATTAAGATTGTTTTTGTGTTTTTAATACAAATCCTATTTTTAAGGTTTGGTGATTTTAAGCCCAAAATGTTAAACCTCTAACATTTAAAGAAAAGTGAATAAAAGTTTAGGTGAAATCTGTTTCTTTTCCACATCCAGTCAGTAGTTAACACTGACCCGACCCGATGTTTACATCTGCAGGTGTTTCAGTTTGACACCATCAAGGAGAAAACATCAGATATGATCCACTTCTTCTTCGCCAAGCTGAACTGCCGACTGTACAGGAAGAAAGACAAAACGACGCTGCTGGTCTCCGCCAACCGGCTGTTCGGGGACAAGTCGCTCTACTTTAACGAGACGTACCAGAACATCAGCGAGACCGTGTACGGAGCCAAACTGATGCCTCTCAACTTCAAGGTGACGCCACAGATTATTAAACCGTTTCAAAGTGTCCAGATTAATAACTACTGGAAACATCACAGGATGAAATGAAACATTTGAATTGGACAGGAAGTAAAGTCAATACTTTGAATATTAAATATGTTTTTCTTTATGTCTAATGTTCTTTGATTAATATGTTAATATTCTACATTTTAATGCAATTAATCACTTTTTAAACACAGGTTGTTAAGTCTAATTAATTAATTGTGTTTTTACTGGAAGCAACGTTTTCAATTTAAAAACCATATCATTGTAGATATCATACCATAAAGACATATCTACGATGCCGTATTAAGGCAAATGTGGACAGAAAAACAACAAGAAAGGAGGATTAGATTTCTGAAAAAAAATCTCACATTTTCTAGAAAAAACTTGGAAATTTTCTGAGTTTCAAAAATCTAAAATATTTGACTTTTCAAAATTAAAAATTTTAAATATTAATCTCAAAACTTAAATTTGAATTAAACAAGTTGCCTGTATTTTTATAATGGTTTTCAATTAAAATACAATTAATCAATTAATTAAGTCCCTGCAATTAACTTAATTAAACATGTTAATCGAGTCTCACCTCTGGTTAAAAACTAAAATAACAGCATATTCTGCAAAATTAGAGTAGTAGAATATATTTATGTATATGAATTATAATTCTAATTATATAAAAGTAATTATTGATATTGTTAAATTATACTTACAAATTATAATTTCTTTATAATAAAATTAGGAATAAATAATTTCATTTATAATCTAAATTTATTTTTTAAGAATCCCATTTTTAAAAAAGCCTTATTTAATTTTGCTGAGAATATTACCCTCTATGCAGATGATATTGTTTTGTGCACCAAAAGTCTTGCTAGAGTTCAGATAAAGAATCTGCTGTTTTTAAGTCAAACTGGATCCGTACCAGTAACTCCTCTGATGGCAGACAAACCCGGAGGCGGCTCGGATCACCATCAACGACTGGATCTCCAACAAGACGGAGAACAGGATCCAGGACACGCTGCCGTCCGGCGCCTTGGACTCTAACACCGTTCTGGTTCTTGTCAACACCATCTACTTCAAGGTTGGTAAAGACCTGAAGATAAGGCAATCTGCATAGAAATCTGTTTTAGGACTTCAGAGATAAAAAAGCAGGATATCATCTGCATACAAAGATAATCTGATGTTCCTGAACACTGAGCAACAGTTTTTGTTTCCCTTTCAGGGTTTGTGGAAAAACAAGTTTCCCAAAGACAGCCTGATGGCGTCAGAGTTCTTTGTGGACGACAGTCGCAACTGTGAGATCAGCATGATGTACCAGGAGACCAAGTTCAACTACAAGGACCTGCGTGAGGAGAAGGTGCAGCTGCTGGAGATGCCGTACCGAGGAGACGACATCACCATGGTGATCATCCTGCCAAACAAAGGCCATCCGCTCAGTCAGGTAGGCTTCGTTACCTCCTCCGTGTTTGTCCTTACAAAGAGAAAATTATCTGGGAGTTTTGGTTAAATCTTCAGGCTGTAAATAAATTCAGAAGTATTGCAGAGGAAAGTGAAAACATAAAAAACTGTTACTTTTGTTAGAGAGAAGTTACTGGAATTAAACTGAGGTGGAAGAGCAAGGAAACCTGGTGATGAGGTGAAGGTGGAGATTACCTGAGACGTTTGGTGAGGCATTTCTGCCAACATTAGTCATTCATCAGGCCTGTGAATATTCTTTTTTTTTAGCAGGAAAGCAGAGAAATTGACATTAAAGCTGCAGTTCATAACTTTTATAATTTTTTAAACATATTTGTTAAAGCTGTCACGTTGACAGTTTATGAGACAAATAATCTGTGGAAAGATCGATCTCCTCCACCTCCTGCCTGAACTGCTGTTTGAAGAAATTAACCAAAAACAACCAATCAGAGCCAACAGGAGAGGCGCTGTCAATCACCCTCATGAACATGCTGCTAAATGTGCCAATATCACAGAAATAACCCACCGTTACAGGAAAACCATTTATCCACCGTCATTGGTGGCTATGCTAACTGGCATAAGCACTCATAACATAAGGAGGATGATTGGCAGCGCTAAGACCCGCCTCCTGGCTCTGATTGGTTGTTTTTAGTTGGCAAGATAATATTTTCACAGATTATTTGTGTTTTAACAAACTGTCATGACAACAAACAAGTAAACAAATGATTTTTTTTTAAAGTCTCACACTGCAGCCGTAAGCTGAACCTCCGACCAGGACGCGCTGGGATGAATGTCGGATTATTTAGTGAGTTTTTCCATTCAGGTGGAGCAGAATCTGGACCAGAACAAGCTGAAGAGCTGGCTGGACCAGATGAGAGAAACCTCCGTGTCCGTCACCGTCCCGCGCTTCCGGGTGGAGGACAGCTTCAGCCTGAAGGACAAGCTGCAGCAGATGGGGCTGACCGACCTGTTCAGCGCAGACACGGCCAGCCTGCCCGGTACCAGAACCAGAACCTGGACCAGAACCTGGGCCAGAACCTGAAACACAACCAGAACCAGAACCTGAGCCTGGGCCAGAACCTGGGCCAGAACCTGAAACACAACCAGAACCTGGACCAGAACCTGGGCCAGAACCAATCCCCATAGAAACCAGTTTATTTTTAGTTATGAGAATAAAGTCATAATACTAGCAGAATAAAAAAGCAATAATTTAATGATGTTAATAGATGAAGCGTTTCCTTATTTGTAAAACCGATACATTTATTCAGGATTTTGTTTTTCAGAGCGTTTGTGTAGAAATTTTCATAGAATTATGACTTTATTCTAACTGTATCACTTTATTTTGGCTTTGTTTTCTCATATTATTACGATTTTAAGCAACATCAGTAGATTTCAGCTCCACACTGAAATATTCATTAAATTCAGTTCCACTGAGTTTTGTTCAAATGTATTACAGACAAAAAAAACATTGATTTAAAAAAAATATATATCTCTACTAAATTAGAAAAATTTAGCAAAAACATTTTGACAGTTCTGATATTTAATTTTTTTAGTTTTAATTTAAATAGCAATACAGTTTTTTTATTTCATTTCGTGTATATTTACAATTATTTTTAATTATAAATATGTAATTTTTATAACATTTTTTGCCTTATTTTTATTTTTCTACTTAGTTATGTCATCCATCTTTTTGTAGCAGTTAATACTTTTTATTTTGCTGACGTTATGAGCTTTTGTCTTTGTTACAGTCCTTTACATGATTCGACATTAAACTCTCATGTCCAGATCAATGATAAAATCAGTCATATATTTATGAAATGATAATAATCGGGTGTTTTTCCAGGAATCCTGGAGGACGGCAGCGACTCCCTGTTCATCTCTGATGCTTACCACAAGGCCTTCCTGGAGGTCAGGAACACAAAGTTCATGTTTTCTGTTTGTTTTCACTCAAACTGCCACTGATTGGTCAAGTTGAAGTTTAATCTGATCTGCGTGGGCTTATTGTTTTGTTGGTTTCCAGGTGAACGAGGAGGGAAGTGAAGCTGCCGCCTCCACTGCCGTGGTCGCCGTCGGACGCTCCCTGAACCTGGACCGGGAGTATTTCCTGGCCGATCATCCGTTCCTGGTGATCATCAGAGAGTCGACGCTCAACACGCTGCTGTTTGTCGGCCGCGTGGCCGACCCCTGCCAGCAATGAAACGGCCGCTGTTCATTGGCCAATGAAACGGCTCCGTTGAACGACGCCGTCCTGTAAAAATCATTCAGAGGTCAGGAGGGTTTCAGGCTTCGACGGCACCAGAAACAAACATAATCCAGTTCCAGAAGAGCTCAAATAAAACATTTGTGTATTAAACTTACTTTGAATACTTAATGTTGATTTTCAACTAGACTTGGACTAGGCCATTTTTATGGTTTGATTTCAGCTCCTCTGTCCTTGTAAATGTAAAATCCTTCTTTGTTTGAGTCTGTTGAGTAAAATCCCAATAAAACACACTGAAGTTTCTGACTGTTAAAAAATGCAGAGTAAAAAATAATTGAAAAAAGAAAAACGGTGCTGAATTTCTGGCCCAACATCTGGGATAGTTTATCATTTACTTAATATTTCCAGAATGGGTTTAAATCCACATTTTCTGGTATTAAATTCAGAAATACTTTATACCCAAAAGAAATTAAATGTTTTAAATCAAATATACTACAGCTTCATTCTGGTGATATTCTGAATATCTTCAGCATTAATATGACTATTCTCATATTTTTATGACTATTCTTGTATTACTTTATTCTTGTACTGTTTTCTGTTCTGTTAATTTTACCACTTCACTCTCTTAAGTCTGACTTTATTCTCCAACGTATTTTTCTCGTAATCTTTCTTTATTCCTGAATCTTCACAACTTCTATTCTGGTTTAATTACTGATTTGTTTGCTTTATTTAACCCGCTGCAACTCGTTTCATCCAAGAATCTTCAACGAGTCGATGTAAGTGGTGATGCTGTGGTCAGGAAGGAACTCCAGTAGCAGTCAGTCTTCCAGTGACTCTGAGTAGGCCTCTGACTTAAGGCAGCTGTTCAACAGTTTGAAGACCGTTAAACATGCCAACAGCTAAAATATGAAGAAAGGAAAAGGAGTCACTGCAGGTTTACACTTAAAGTGCTTTATTTCCTCTGGAGGAGAAACAACCTGTGAGTGATCTAGTGGTCATCGTGAAAGAAGCTTCTTCACATTTTATTTTATTTTTTTACTTGAACTAATCGACCTTTGGCCTTCACATACAACCCCCCTCCCACCCCTGTTTCCAACATGATTTAGCAACAGACACATGCAACATAAGAGCTTCACATAAAACCTTTCAGGTTCATCTATTAAGAGCTCCTCAGGTACCTCCTTAAAAAACAAACAAAAAGTACAATATTAAAAGTTCATTCACTAAATTTCATTTTCTGCTTCAATATATTAGGATATACTTTGAGGAATCAACAGTAAGGAGTAATCTCATTAAGTGATTATGTTTAAATGATTTGATTTATAATTAGGCATATTGTGGTCAAAGTTACTGTATATTCTTTATACTAAACATTAAATTCACACAGTAAAAAATATTAAAAAGCAAGTAGTTTCAGACTTAAGCTAAAGAAACAAGAAAACAAAGTTTGGCATGTTGTAGAAAAGCAGAGTTACCAAAAACAAACAAAATGGAGCCCAGGTGATGATGTAGGTGATGAGGTTTGGCTGTTTTTCACAGTTTGAACATGAAAATATTTAGAGAGTAAAATAAAATAAGGCGGAATAACTCAGAAGGAAATGTCGGATTTTACGAAGTTCGGAGGCAGGAAGATCGTCACTTCGCAATGACTCGTTAAAATTTAGCAGTCGTTTGTTTGGGGTTTATTTTGTTGGGAAATAATAAAAATGAAGACAGAAGAGAAAGAAAAAGTTCACAGCAAAAAAACGAAAACGCAGATCCGACTTTTCCCTCTGGATTCCTTTAACAGAACCAGAACCAATCTGGTTCGTTTCCGACTAACTGGCTAAAAACAACGTGTTAATAAATGAAGAGACCTCAGCCAAACCAAAAACAACTAGAGGAAAAATTAAAAGGCTTATCGTGGCATTTTTAAAAACTGCACCTTTAAAATAAATCAAGACTTTATGCAAAAACACATCCTAAACTTAAATGTTTGTTCCTGAAGTTTCAGGAGGACAAACTGGGTTAACGTCTTTGTGTTGCTAGCTGGGCAACATTTACTTTTTATATACGGTATTTTTAAAATATATTTAAAAAACACAAGATGTCTGAGCCACAATTAATACAACTTCATTTTACAGGAAACCAACAACTAATAAAGCTTTAAATAAATATAGAACATTTCTCTAAATTTAAAATCTTCACATCCATTAGCTTTAGCTCGCTAGAAGCTAACAATGGATTAGCATCTCAAACAACCATTTAGACAATTAAGTGAGGTATTCGGTTACAGGAATATTATATTATATTAATAATACTTATAACATGGGAAGTTTTTAATTGAAAGATTAAAAAATTACAAAAAAAAATAAAACCTTAAATTTAAAGAAAGGCTTTAACTTACCGTAGGGTTATTGTATTCTTTCCTTTTCATTGTTTTAATAACTCTCTACTTGTTATGATTCATAAATATTTGTACATTTTTAATTTTAATTTTGTATTTATAATTTAATAATCCATTTGTGTTGCAGTTTAAAGTTTTAAATCATGAGATTTAAGAATACAACATGAAAATCAGCAACCAGGCTATTTTGATAGACTGAGCCAGTCGGAACCGGTTCAGACCGGTTCAGAGCTGCTCTGTCATTTATTTATTTAAAGCCAGGAAATAATATTTAAACTGTACATTTTCCACAAAAGGACTATAAAAGTCTAAAACTTAAGTAGGCTAAAAACAAATTAGCATTAACTTTTTTAATGCTGTAAGTTAATGCTATAAAAATTGTTTATTTTTTATTTTTTTTAGATTTCTTATTACTGTATTCTGCTTAGCCTTGAACAAATATCTAGAAAGGTTTTTCCACTAATTACAAATTAAACTGGTTCACTGATTGGTTTGAAGTCGTTTCAAAGTATCAAGAGTTAAAATTTATTTTTGTCAAATAAATCAAACTGAATTACAGTTGGCACCTAGCTTGACTGTTCTGGCACATTTTCATGTTTTTATTTCCTTTAAAGAACTACACTTCCCAACAGCGATTAGCCTACAGTTTAACAGAAACTAGTTAAACATTTTGACTTAAAATAGTTAGCATTTTGACCACAGCAAATTAAACAGTTTGGACTGGTTCAGACAATTTTTTTTACATTTTGAACTCACACTTTGTTTAAAGAAAAGGGGGAAAAAAAACAACACAAATATGTAAAAATATTGTAGCCTGAACTGGATTTCAACTAAAATCTTTTCTCCACCTTTGGTAGATTAAAAATCTGAAGGTTTTAGATTTGCATAGTTACCTAAATATTTTACAGTTTCAAAGTGTTAGGTAATGCTAATTGTTGCTGTATTTTCAGTTTTTACAAAGGAACAAAAATACCTTTGCTTAAGTCTAATTTTGGACAATAATATTAGCTAGTTATTAGCATTTTGGTGGCTTCTGAACATGAAGTCTCATCCTAATGTGACCAGATTAGATTCATGTTTGTTTTTTATGACGCTTGGAAGAAAGTAAAAATAAAAACTGAGAAGCAGTTAGCCAGATTGTGCTTTTTTACAGAGATTAAAAGCACTTTTTTGATGCACATCATAAAGATGAATGAAATGTTGGATTTAATGTATAAAAATGACACACACAGCTCCAAATGGTCATTTTAAGGTGAAAATTATGAAATTGTAATAATATTACACAATAAACTGTCTTCATTTGTAACAAACAAAGTCGAAATCTGTTGGAATCACTACATTTCCATTCAAGTCTGTATTAAATGTGGCTGCAGTACACCTACAGAGGTCTTGTGGTTTTAGTATATTTTCTCATATTGCCCAGCCCTCTTTTTTATTTTCTGTAATCCAGTTGTCCCTCACAAAATTACTATTTTACATATTTTTACCTGCTGCTAGCATGTACATGAATATTTTATTTCTGCAGTGTGCAAACTGCACTGAGGTTTAACCGTTAATGCTCTGCTACAAAGGGAAAAAACCAACAGAAAACGTCCATTTGAGAGACTAAAGAAGAAAGTCTTTATACCTGATAGATCCTGGTTAGGCCTGAATGTGAGCATGGTGGCGGCTCTGGTTGTGAGATCCGAGAGGAAAATCTCGAGTCGCTCAGTGTGAGGACGGAGCCGCTGGCTTCACTTGCATAAAAAAACGTTTTTTACTGTCCACTGAGAATCAGATTCACAGTCCTGTAGAAAACAGTAACAGCGGATCCATGTGCTACCTCCCACACGCCTCGATTAAACTCATTTACATTTATAAGCCAAAAAAAAAAAACATCTAAGTAGTTTAAATACATCTGTCTGATAATATCTGTAGATTTGTTATTGTTCTGTTTTTAAAAAACTTTTTCTACCACGACTCTTAGTTGGCGTTAAGTGCGGAAGTTTGGGCGTTTCGGAGGACCAAAATGGCCGCTGTCCTTTGGTTGCCAGTTGCTCTGACATGCAATGTCTGGAGGTTTAAAACGGCCAGGTTTTTACATCCATCTGGTCTGACAGGGTAGAGCTCCGTTTATTTGTTTTAATCCCAGATCTTCAGCCGTTAATGACACAGTACATCTAATGCACTCTGGATAAAACCACATCTAATTAGCATATGTTCAAAAATCACTCAGGTTAGCTGAGATTCACCTGAAAACAATAATCCTGCTTCCAAACGTCGACTTATATTATGTCTCAAGTCTATTTAAGATTGGGGTGATAAATGGTTAACAATGGAATCGTTTTCCATTGTTTTTCAAGGTACTAGCTACCTGACGTAACGAGCTAGCAGCTAGCTAAACAATGCTTTCAGTTTCTTTGCTCTACTCTTAAACTTTTTGTTTTGCTTTGCTTATTTTCTTTGTTTCCGATACATTTTATTTTTCTTGGTTGCAAGTGAAACATCCAGAAAGAGTTAAATTTTGAAGGCAAAAATAGCATCAGCTAATTATATTAGCATTGGCTAACTATGTTAGCGAAATTAGCAACAGAAGCTCACAGAAACAAAGACACTCTTTGAACCAGCAAAATATGAAATGTAAAGTCTTTTTTTGAGTCTCAACCTTGAAACATTCAAATTAATAACGTAAATAATTCCTAAAAAATGATTTTAAGTTATTTTTTAGATATGTTTATTCCACTAGCTCATTCTAAAAATGTTAGCCAGGAAACAGAATAATGTTGGATTGAAGTCATTCTACAGTTTAACTGACCAAATTAAGCTCGGTTTAATACTCATTAATTGCATTTAATTACATTTATTGAGACAGCTTGTGATAAAAATTAGATTTTTTTTAATCCAACTGGATTTTTAGGACTAAATTGGGTTCTTTAAAGTCTTTGAAATTTTATTCTTTTTTTTCTAGGCCCAGATAAGTTGTATTTTTGTAAAATGGATTGATTTAGAAAACTATTTTAAATGTAATATATGGCCAATTTAAGCATAATAAATAGTTTGTTGATTTATAACAGTAAGCTGTATTATTAAACAAGGTGTTGAGAGGAGTTTTAATTGTTATGGTAAAATTAAAGTTATACAGTCAGTTATATTTCAGGTGGAGTGCAGAAGATTTAATGTGTCATTAACCGACAGACTTCTGATCATTTCCTCCTTTAAATAATAAGCTTCATTGTCAAAAGCACAGATGTGTACAGTGATGACAGAGAAACCAAGACCTGTTTATAAAACCGATCTGAGAAGACTGACGGGGACCAGAGCGCCCCCCGGTGGTGCTGAGTGAGCAGCAGCTGTATTGCGTAGTGATGAGAGGTAATTATCGAGCTGTGTAGCTTATCTGAGACTGTTTCTGTCCTACTGGGAGTTTGTTCGGTAGTTTGTCCCGCTGCCAGGTGGTTCAGGCTGAATCTATGAGAAACTTGGAAGGTTTCACCGCCACAGTTAGCAAACATCAACATGATCCGGTTAAATATTTCACAGCCAATTGAACTAATAAACCAGCGAGACTGGAGTTTCTCTGCGGATGATGGCTTCAAATATCACATTTAAAAAGGCAGGAATTGTAAAAATCATGTGGATCGGTAGCCGACAGTCCAGGGTTCGGATCCCTCTGCTCTGCTTTCTGCTCAGCTACCAATTAATAAAGACCTAAAAGGAAAAACCTAAAAACAAAAATTATTCTCTACAAAACATTGTTTAGCCCAACTCTGGTTTTCTCCACAGACGTCTTTTATTCCCATGCTTTCTTTCTGTTAGACGGATTTTTTGCACATTTAATTTGAATTACAGCTACTATTATTTATTTAGTACAATTATTCTTTAAGGATAATTATAAACAATAGCTATTGTAATTTTAAAATAAAATATCTTTCAGAAGAGAAATATCAACCAAAATTTGTAAATTTTGGTTGATATTGATATCTGATATTAGTATTGCTGCTACAGCCGATAACTGATATTTACCGATATTATATATTTTCTCAAATGCTAACGTCCGCTAACTCGCTAAGAGCCGAGCTACTTTTTAGCTTAGCTTTTTAGCTAACTTTTAGTCGTTTATCCCACTTAACTTAGCCTAAATTAACATTTCTGGATTCATTTTAAAGCACCAATTTTATTGGTTGTTTTGTAAACTTTTAATTTTTATTTTTGAATAGTTCAACGTTAGATTCATGCTTTTATTTTGAAGTGGATGAAGGCCGATTACGCAACTGTTTCACTTCCTGCCCTCACGTTCTCTCTGTTTTCCCTCAATAAGTTTTAGCAACATACATAAAGAAACAAAACAAGATGGACCGAACAAGATATAAACAAAACATATCTTCTAAAGATATTATAGCGCATTAGGTTTAGCTTAACTAGCTTTTTGTTAGCATGGCTAACTCCCTCCAGAAAAAAACGGCAACAAGATGGAAATAAACATTGTCTGTTTGTATCGTCTCAGTTTTACTTATCAGTAAAACAGCTAATATGGGTCAATACCGATGTTGATGCTAATGTCGAGCATCCCTAGTTTTTCTGTCGTACTTTGTGACTGATTTAGCATTTTAAACCAACAAATTCAGCATTGGTAAAGCCGAACGATTTCTTTTTATCACAGATATTGATTATTGATGATGAAGATTTAAACAGTAAATATGAAAGTCAAAATAATCTAAACTGATATATTTGAAGCCACCATCCTGTAAGCAACAAAAATAAATGAATAAAGCTGTAAACGGAGCAAAATGTCTTGAAACTGATGACGGAAAAGTTAGAGCTGCAGTTTTTTGTTTGTAGTGTAAAAAATGAAATGTGACGAAGTCTGAAACTCCAGGGGCGCTGAAATGTAACTCTTCCAACGAAACAGTCATCGCTGTGGCACTTGGAGCGCAATGATTATTATTATTATTAACCTGACTGCTCCGGATTGTCTCAAGGCAAATAAAAAGGATTTGAACCGTAAAACTGGCACTGAGTATCTTGGCAAAGCCCTCCTTCTCCCCCGGACAGTTGGGATTAGAGGTGCACCGATAAATTGGCCCGATTTCCTCAAGAAAAGGTCTGTCCTCTTCTGCTCCAGAGTAAGAGAGGTTTGACCCACTGTTGCTAACTCAGCGATATTTAGCAAAATTCAGACATAAAAATCGGAACCGGCCGGAATCGGTAATCGGTGCACCGCTAGTCGTGATGCTGCGTTGTGAACCCGGAAATCCAAAAAGTAGAAACCTGCAACATAAAGTCGACGGCGGCGCGCCGCTGAGCGTTGTGTGTGTGTGTGAGGTTGTAGGAGTGTGTGGCAATTCTTCATCTTTAGCTTAATCTGTTCTGTCTGGTTAGTGAAGGTAGATGCGGTTTAAAGCGGTAAGAATCTCATTTCGGACTCTGAGGTGTGCGTTGACTTCAGACGGGACCGGCGTGGCGTTCGCCTCGTTTCCGCCCGGGTCAGTCGGGCCCCGTGGTGGAAACCGAGGTCTGAGGGCCGTCTGCGTAATGGCCGCTGTTGCTCCCGCCGCCGGCCTCGGGTTCCTCCTGGCTGGGCGAGGCCTCGTCGCTCGGGCCGCCGCCGCGGGACGGGACGGAGGCGGTGGTGGTCTCGGGCGAGGCGCTGTGGGCCTCCTGCGGCGCGCAGCCCGGGTGGTTCTTGCGGAAGTGTTGGTTGAGGATGGCCTGGAAGGGGAAGCTCTTCCCGCAGACGTGGCAGTGGAAGGGCTTGTTGCCGGTGTGCTTGCGGATGTGGTACTCCAGCTGGTCCTTGCGGGTGTACTTCTTCCCGCAGATGCGGCAGACGAACGGCGTGATGCCCATGTGCAGCCGCATGTGGCGGTCCAGGCTGCCCTTCTGGTTGAAGGACTTGCAGCAGTAGATGCAGGTGAGCCGCGGGTTGTAGCGGAACCAGCGATCACCCACCTGCTCCCTCAGGTAATCCTCGTAGCCGCCCATGTCGAACGCCGCGTGCTCCTCGCCCTGATGGACACAGACAAACCAGATGCAATACCAACAAAAACAGGATCAGGAGTGAAAATAAACTAAACGAGATAATTTACATTTAACCAGAGGAGAGCAGAAAACCCAAAAGATTAAACACAGCAAGAGCAGCAACATGCTTCCATTCACCTAAAAGTAAAAAGTATCCATACAAGAAAATACTCAAGAGTGAGAAAGTATTTGGTAAAAAAGTTTATTCAAATACTGAGTAACTGATCAAACCATCAATCATTTACTATTTAAAAATTACATCATTGGACAAACCAAAATATAAAGTTAGGAGGATTTTTTGGTATTTTAAGGATCAAAATGACAATAATTCATATAAGCAAAATAATAAATAAAATCAGGTAAATTAAGTTTTTCCAAATCAGTTTCTGTCAATAAAAAACTAACAGAACCTGCAGGTGCGAGGCCGATTCTGGTTGATTTAGGGCAGAAAATCCAGAAGTTTTAGTCAAGTAAAAGTAGAAATACTTTATAATATAATTACTGAAGTAAAAATACAAATAACGCAGTCATATTACTCAAGTAAATGTAACTAGTTACTAACCAACTCTGCATTTAAGAAACTTTTACATGTTTTGGACAAAACATGTTGAGAAGCACTATTAGGAACCTGAATAAGTTTATTTAGGAGATTTTGTTATTTTTTGTCTTAAAGCTGCAGTAAAACTTTTTTAATAAATATATTTTTTTACATATTTATTAAAACTATCACCATGTCATGACATTATGTTATGAGACAGACAATCTGTGAACAAATCGATTTAATCCCTGAGCTGCTGTCTGAAGAAATGCACCAAAAACAGCAAGTCAGAGCCAGAAGGCGGGGCTTAGCGCTGCCAATCAACCACGTTTACTCGATGCTAAATGTGCTAATCACTACAAGAAAACTGTTTATCCACTGTCATCGGTGGCTGTGCTAACTAGCCTTAGCAGTCATGACAGGCTATGCTAGCTGCAGTGTAGCAGAGAGTAAGAAGAAGTGATTGATAGCGCCAAGTCCCGCCTCCTCGCTCTGATTGGCTGTTTCTAGAAGACAGAGGAGATTGATCTTTTCACAGATTATGACAGTTTCAACAAAAACAAGGTGTTTTTAATAAATCAGGTTTTCAGACTCCGGTAGATCTGGGTCGGTTCTGGTCGGAAAGCGCCTCATGTCGCCTGATGTTCTTACCTGAGAGCTCGGCTGCCGCAGTTCGTCGGCTCGGCTCGGAGACTCGCTCTTCGCTCTCTGGCGCTCGGTGAGGACGACCACGCTGCCGGTGGGACTGAACCTGGACAATCACCAATAATCGATTACTGATGTAAGTCAACTAATTTAGTAATTGATTCATTGTTATTTGAGTAATTCATCATGATAAATGATAACTCATATGATAGTTGTAGTTGGTAGGATTAGATCTAAAATGTTAATTTTCTTATTAAAAAAAGGAATTAACTATTTGTTTATTTGTATTTTCTAGGTTCTTCTATAAAAGATCTGCAGAGTGGCAATTATTTTAGAAGATTAATCACCAGAATAATCGGTTCCTTGACTACAAATACACAACAAGTATTTATGTCCAGTTTCTAGTGGAAATATCCTAAAATAAGAAAAAACTTACTGACAAGTAATTTTTGACCAAGACTTGGCAGCTTGTTTTGGGAAAATAATGTATTAATAATGAGGAAAAAAATTAGTTTCTCTCACGTCTGTCACAATAAGCAATTAATTAATTGCAAGATAAATTAAAATTGCCTCGATTATTTCCATTCCGAATGATATTTTCTGAAGGACGACTTTGTTTACAGATACCATTTTATTTATTTATCAGTTGCAAGTCGTTTTTATTTCCATTGTGGAGGAAATAAAACAGTCAATGGGTCTTTGACACTTGTATTATTGTACTGAAATGACAATATTATCGTTTATCGCGATAACTTCAGAGACAATTTATCGTCCAGCAAAATGTGTTATTATAACAGTCCTAGTTAAGTTTTATTTTGATATCTAATATTAAAGTTTATAAATCTATGAGAAAGTGTTTTTGCATTATTATCCTGTTATATCATTTAAAGTTAGTCTAAAAAACAGCGATGTTATCATTTATCACAATAACTTCAAGAACAAGCATTGTTATTGTGTTTATTTCGGATATTTTACATTTAAAAGGATAATTTTCAACGAGAAGGCAAACTTGTATTACTAAGTCATTTTTATATTACATGAAAACAACAACATCAATGTTTATCGCAGTAACTCGTGGGACAATTTATCGGCAAATTTCTTAATTTATGGTGTGGTTCCGACTCACCGGTCCGTTTCGCTGAAGCTGGAGGACGCCTGTCCACTGCGGATTCCCAGCCCGCCCAGCGGCGCCGTCATCAGCGTGCTGCGGCCCGACGTGTCAATCATCACCGTGGCTCCGCCCTCCTCTGCGGCCGCCGCCTCCGCCTGGTTCCCTCCGGCTCCGATCCAGTCCTCCATGCGCTCCGTTTTGATCCTGATGCGGTCCACGCCTCCGCCTGCTCCGCCGCCGCCGCCGCCCTCCTCGGCGCTGTCGGTCCTCTCTGGCTCGCTGCCCGTCTCCATGTACCACTGGCCGGCCCGGTTGATCCGGAGAATCGGCTCCTTGCTGGTTCTGCTGCTGGTGGCGCCAGGTCCCACCAGCCCGCTGTGCTCCACGGTCGGCGGCGGGCTGAGTGGCTCCTCCGCCGGGCTGATGACCTCGCACGCCTCCGTGCCGCCTCTGGCGCCCAGCAGCTTCAGCCCGCAGTGATGGCCACCGCCACCGCGCACCATGGCCTCCATGGTCCTGCCGGGCCGGGCCGCCCGCGGCGGGGCGTCGTCGTCGTCGTCGCATGTCGCCTCGTCCACGTCAGCCAGGCTGATCTTCAGGTGGATGCCCTCCAGGATCTGGGTGCAGCGGTCGATGATGTGCTGCATCTGCAGGAAGCTGGCGGCGGTCAGGTAGCTGATGATGTCAGCCAGCTGCAGGCAGAGGCGGCCCGTGTAGCAGAAGGTCAGCAGCTGCTCGAACACGGATGGGTTGCGGATGACCGTCAGCGACACGGTGCTCATCTGGCTCAGCGACATGTGGTCGCGGAAGTACGGCGAGCTGGCGGCGAGGACCACCTTGTGCGCGCGGAAGCTCTGGCCCTGGACGTTGACCACGATGTCGCAGAGGCGGCCCTGGACCCGCAGCTGGTTCAGGTGCGACAGGACAGAGTTGCTGAAGTCAGGGATGTCCAGCTGGATGCTGCCGGAGCGCTCCATGCCGCCACCTGGTGGAGAACAGAGGAACACATCATACCGATTAAACCAGAACGAACAAAGACCTGGTTTTAAGCAACAACAAGGGCATTCTGGGTAAACACAACCAGAACAAACATGCCAGCCTAGCGCTAGCAGGATAAATGACTCGTGGCCTTTAGCCAAACACTAAAATCTGATACCACTCCATTTCACAAAACAGGAAGTTGCACTCAGTGTCTTCAGATGTTTTTTGTAATTTCCTTCAGTGGCGCCCCCACAGGCCAGGAGGGGAACAGGTCGCTCAAAGGATTTGGTTCTTTTAACTAAAGTCCTGGTTTGGTACTTTGGTTTTTAAGGCCAAGTTGCATTACACTATAATCAGGAAAAACAATAGTTTATAAATGTTTCGTAAACATACGATCGCTCATACGGATAGAGCGACAGTATGTTTTCTACGCTCCTTCACCCTGACGTACCTTCCTTTTGGAGGGGGGAGATTTATGTTTTCGCATTCACCTGAATAATATGTAGTTGCGCCCCCGTACATGTCTGAAAATACTAATTTTTAATACAATAAATACATCCTTAGGGGTCTAATGAAGACGGATATAAACTTTTCAGACCTAGAAACCGTAGCACCAGTGGCAGCATCATACTCTGGGGTTGATTCACAGCAGATCAATCAGGAAAAAAGCCCTTCCTCTAATTTATCCAACTTCACCTCAGATCATCAACATTTAACGAAATATTAATCTGTTTTCATGTTCATGTTTGTGAGCAGTTTCATTAAATCCTAAAAATAAATGTAGATTTTCGTGTTTTTAGTAATTCCTGTAGTTGTTTGTTGCGCTTTTTTTCACTCAGGAGGAGAAAAGTTTAATTAATTCACTAAAGCCTCATTTTGACTGGACGGAAACTTCTGGTACGAAATGTTTCTGCATTACTAAGACGGCGCCGCTTTGATTCGCTCCAACATGACACCGAACCAGAACCAGTGGTTTTCCCGGCTGAATCCAGGTGCCAGCTTGAGCCCAGGTGTGCAGGGAGGGGTCTCACCTGAAGCGGGCTTCAGTTCGGTTCTGGTTTCAGGATGCGGTCGACTCTTTAGTCCCGCAGGTTTCTCTGCATCGCCGGCAGGCAGGACGGTGGATGACAGGAACTCTCCTCGGCTCGGTTCGGTTCGGTCCGGCCCGGCGGGGCTGCAGCTCCACCCGCCCCGCTGCTCCAGGCTGGTCGCGTCGCGTTCAGGGCCGGGGTTCGGCAGCTGGGCTCGGCCTGCGCTCCGACAGCAGCCGCTCCGCCGACATTCCACTAGAGGTCCGGTTCGGTTCAGTGTCGGTTCTGTTCGGGGCTGCAGCGGCGGCTTCTCATCTTCCTTTTTCAGCTCAGAAGGGCCGAGGCTGCAGGAAGGAAGGAGAGGAGGAAGAAAACGCGCTAGGACTTGTGGGAAATGTAGTTATGTGGTTAATCTCCGCCGAATCGTTCGGTTTCAAGAAACTACATTTCCCAGCGTGCCTCTGTCTGCGGAGAGGTCATGATGGTACTTTAAGAGTTTGGCAGAGTATTCCAGTGAAAGTACTAATGTTGAATTAATAATTTTAGGTACAAGTTCTGATTTTATAACGTAAAAACTGCAAAAGTACTTTTAAATATTTTTTGTGTGTGTGTGTTTTGTTGCTATAGATGCATTCAGGGCCGGAATTAGGGGGATAAGCGCCCTTGGGCTAGTTTAAAGTTACGGGATCCTTTACATTGAAGTTTATTTTATTCAGACAACGTCAATATAAATATAATAT